ATGTTATCAGTGTATATGATAAGCAACCAGGCCAAGGTAAACGCCAAGAGGCTGTCCTGTTATAATCATGACATGTCTTCCTGGTCTGAAGTGTTACGGGAAGGGTTAGCATATGCATTTTTAAGAATCTTTTTGGCTAATAGTATAATTTTAAAATTTGTTAACAGAGTCTTGCTATAGAGCGCTGTCTAGCCTTGAACTCGAGACAGCTTCAGCCTCGCACAGGCTGAGACTACAGCTGTTCCCCATAAGACGAGAGCTTTTAAATGAATCATTTAGGTCTGAGTTGCTATTGCCTGATCAGAACAGTCAGGGTCGTCCTGCAAGCTGGGCAGCTGACAAGTGAGTTCTCAGGAACAGCCCAGCCCTGGCTGTGGAACTCTTGCTCGGGAGTGAATTGTAGGTTTGGCACAGACAGACCTGCCCAGAGCTATGAGCCCTCTTTGCCCCCTGTGATCTGCGGCCCTCATGCTGTCCCAGCAGCCCTGGACAGGAGGCAGCTCTTCCCGGAAGGCCCCTCTCAGGACTTCCCTGGAACAGTTCTCACGGCTCCAAGCTTCTTCCCTAAGGCCTTGCTCGCTGATCCCCCTGGCAGCCCGGCGTGGTACCGGGCGCTCAGGAGTTCCTCTCCCATCATGCATGAGCCTCCTGGGAACTCTCACCCCAAAGAGTGAGTCATGGGGTGCGGTGCCTAGGTGCCTGGCATGCACCACTGTGGGAAGGCATTTGCCTCAAAGGCGTCCCAATCAGAGGTTCCTGCCCTTTGCAAAGAAACCATAACAATGGTTGTCCTTTCCATTTTCTGGGTCTTCTGTTCCCACAGGGAGACTGTGCCCATAGGTCCCCATTCTTAAGTGAGGGTTGCCCCTTGCCTCTCTGTCCATCCCCAAATGACTGACTTGGAAACTGAAAACAGGCAACCAGCACCCCAGGATAGGGTCCTTCTGGCTCTTCCCACGGTGGGGTCCCGTCCTGCCGGAAGCTCCGCGATTAGCCGCCCCACTGTAACTCTGCCCTCTTTGAGGAGTCTCATGTCTCCTAGGATTTTATCAAAAGTATTTGGCTTGGATAGCAGCTAACAATCCTAGATTGTGGGAAGGAATTAAGCGGCTTATGTTGTGTCTTGGCAATGGGGCACTTGGAACGCACAGCAGCTCTGATTAATCCCGGAGAGTGAGCTGCCTTCCCCATCGGGTGCGCCTTCCGCCTTGGCAAGCTGATTCCTGATTCAGAACCCGATCTTAGTAAATTTTTTTGTCTTTTTTTTTTTTCTGCCCTCTGTTGTTGTTTTCTTAGAAGATTGGACGAAGCACTCCAGTCATGGCAATTTCCCTGTACTGAATTAGGGGTGTGCTTTCATTTTCTCTGAACTCCCTTTGATCTCCATGTTCTGACTGCCCTTGGGCTGAGAGCTGAGCAGCTGTGGCTCCCTGAGGAACGCTCTCAGGATGCTTCCTGCTTCCCGGCTGCCTGGCCCACTCTTCATTAGCATGGGCCCATACTTGACAATCACACAGTCACACTCTAAGTCTGTTCTAAGAAGAACAGTTATTTGGACTGTGACTGTTACAGCTGTGGCTAAGTAAATGACATAAAAATGCATTAAATGAAAAGTCTCAAGCCCATGAGTCCTCACTGAGAATGATGGATTATATAAGGTGTGCTATTTATGGACGCAGAATACAACTGGTGTCATCTTGTTTACAAAAATGGCGCTTTATTACCTCATCTTTGCTGTGGATCCATTCTGAAAAGATCAGTGCTTAAACAGAACAAACAGGAAGGCTGGCGCTCTGCGGAACATCACTGGAGGGGCAGCAGTTGGCAGGATGTATGTGTGGGAAATGACTTAGTGGACTGAGAAGCTGACACTGGGGCTTTCATAAGAAGGTCTTCAGTTTACCACACAGCCAGTGGTAGATAAATGTCACTACCCGGGAGGCTTGAGGGCTTTGGAAGTGTCTGCCACCTCTGGCCTTGGGAGACAAGCGTGCAAGAGCACTGTGGACGGAGTGTGGCTTGGGTCCCAGGGCTTTGCCTTTCTTGTCTTCACATCTACAGTCTGCCATGAGACTCCACTGACATCTGGGTCAGATTGGAGATGAAGAGGTCTCCTGGCAAAGCCTGAGGGGACGAAGCCGCAGGCCACAGTTCTACGGCTGTGAGGGCCGGACATAGTCAGCCTGCAGCGCTTGGATGCCTGTCCTGGCTAGGACGCAACCCAACTCACGTGCCACGTTCTTTCCCACGCTGAACTTTTCAACTCAGAGCTAATTCAGTCTCTGCCGCACCTATCCAGTGCTGTTCTGAGGAATCTTCGTCTGGAGATGTACCGAGAGTACCTGGAGCATCTTCTTCATGTTTGCGTTGTTGAGGAAGGTTTACAGACACCCTTTTGTATTAACTTTGGTCAAAGTACATTATATTCTTTCACGAAAATGTCCTTATAAAATCCAGGACTGTGGAGGATGAGTAAATGGCAATAAACTAAAATAAAGGTTATGGTGAGGCGGCTCAGCTGGCAGAGTGCTTGCTGTACAACATGAAGATTCCAGCGCAGGTCTGCAGCACCCACATAAAAAATCCAGGTGTAGCAGCACGGACCTATAATCCTGATGGTGGGGAGCGGGCTCCTGGGACTTGCTGGCTAGCCCAGCCGGTCAGTAGGTGAGCCCCAGGTTCACTGAGAGAGGCTAGCTGCAAAAATAAGGCAGGGCACCATCGAGGAAGACGTGCCATTGAGCTCCGGCCTCCACACGCACACACGTGAACACGTGAACATGTACACACAAGCAGAGAGGCTATAGATTCATTTCAAGGCTGTTGCCACTCAGCGCCATCCCAGCTTTGTCTACTTCCTGGCTAGTATTCACACCGAGTGCCTGCGGGTGTGTGTTCACGCCGTTGCTTCAAATAGGTTTGTGTTTATATCTACTTTTTTATTACAAGATTAGCTTTGTGCATAAAACCACTGGGAATTTCTACCCAGTGTTGTAATTTCATGGAATTAGAAAGTGGATTTTTGCTCCTTGCAAATAAAAAGTTCTCTTCAATGGAGTCTCCGGAGGGACACAACCACTGTTAGGCCCCATGCCAGGAGCAGACGCCACCCAAGGCAAATTCATGGGGTCTTCTGAGGCTCTTCGGGTCATGATGTCATGTCAGGACCTTTAAAGTTTTTAACATCACAGGTCCACGGCATACATATGGCTTCCCGTGATAGGTTTTTATGGTTTCTATGTGTATGAATGTGTGTCTCTGTGTCTGCACACATTTCTGTTTCATTTTCTTTGGTTTTTTTTTTTTCTTCTGTTTGTTTGTAGTTCCTATTTCACTTTGTTTTTTATATTATTTTATTATTATTCTTTAGATGTCTGTTTGTTTTCTAAGGAGAGACAGAAAGGTGAGATGGGGGTCTTGGAAGAGGGAAACTACAATCAGAATCTAGTGTATGAAAAATCTATTTCAAAAAAAGAAAAATAGGGGAGAAAAAAAAGAAATTAAAATTTTGGTTGAATGTTTGTTCCTGTTGCCCAAGTCAAAGAGAAAGTAGTAATCTCTATTTCCCCAAAAATTCTCTGTCGCCCAACAATGCCAGCTCCGGCACTCAGGCAGAGGCATGGGCGGCCTTCAGAAGATAAGACTGCCCATGTGCTTTGTGAGTAACCGCGTGTGTGCTGGAGCAAGCAGTACCTGCCGAACAGCTCCACGGCGGCGTCGGCTCCATCACCGAGTGTCCTGCCTTTCAGCCTGGTTCACACAGGAAGCAGAGGGCGGGCCCAGAGAAGAGCAAACAGTCTCAGGGTCAAACCAAAAAACGGGAGGTGAATGGGCAGAGGAGCAGAATGTGTGCGTTCAAATGACCTGGTAGAGCTCTTGTGCCCAAATTAACATTTGATAACTTGCCTCTGTCAGGCGGTCATGGGAAATGGAGAGAAGGCAGTGCCTCTTGAATTACAGGCGCTAGAAAGGAGAGCTTTCAGAGGAACGTCTGGAGTTCTGATGTTAGGAGCTGTGTGCGGCCATTCGGGCATGCTGTAGTAACAAAGACGGGAGGAAAGTGCCATACCCAGAAACCGGCGTAAAACGCGATGTGGCACGCCTGCCCAGGAGCGAAGACGTCATAAGGCTCAACGGAAAGGTGCAGGATTCCCTACAAGTTTTGAGAGAAAAGCCACATGTTCTGAGGTTCCTGTCCAGGTGGCCTGTGTCTTCTAGGTCCCGGAGCACAAGTGTGTAAGACAAAGCCCTGCTCCCTGGCCTAGGTCCTCGGATCAGAGGCCGTGAAGGACCTGCCAGCATGCAGTCCTCTGCCCGGCGCCAGCCCGCTTGGACGCTGCCCCCTCTGTAACATCAGGCTCCTACACAGGCTTCACTGACCCTCACGTCAGGCAAACCACAGTCTCGGGGTAACTCTACAGAGAGCGAGCAGGTCCCTTTGGGAGGACTGGTGGGAGGACTTTGGTTTTCCTTTCCCAGCAGGGTTCAGCCTGCTCTGCTCCCTGCTGGCTCCCCGGAATCTGTAAACGTTGCCAGCCCTCCTGCACACTTAGTTTTCAGTCAATATTTGTTGAGTCGGGAAAATGACTCCATTCGCGTCACACGCACCCTCCTGTGGCGACAAGAGCAGGGCTGGCATCTGTCATCAGCCCTCTGCTGGCATTCTCGCCACTGAAGAAAGGACAACTGATCACCAGCATTGCTTGATTACATCCGTCTCTCACAAGCGCCTTCAGTCAGTGAAAGGCCGAGCTTCTGGCGCTGGGCCCTCTTAGCTCACCTCTCACAGCTCCTGTTGGGGTCCCGCCTAGGGAAGCTGGGCTCGGTTTGGTGCTGGAAACGTTCACACAGAGTTAAAGCCTTACGATGTGTTCATTTACTTGATATTGACAAATAGTAGCTGTTCTGCTGAGCTTTCTCTGTGCCATCATCAGGGCACTGAGCTGCACTTCAGTTCAGAGTCCATCTCTGAGGGAAACCAGGCAGGAGCTGAAGCAGAGGGAGACCTTAGGCGGCGGCTCACTGAAGCAGAGACCTTAGGCGGCGGCTCACTGATAGCTCTCTGGCTTCTGCTCAGGTAACTGTCTTTTACAGCCCAGGACCCCCTCCCCCACGGGCACCATTTCCCACAGTGGACTGGGCCTTTCTGTGTCAATAGCAATCAAGATTGCCCACGGGATAATTCTGGACTGTGCTGAGGAGCTAAGTTAGAGACTAGCCCAATCAAAACCATCCCATCAGAGCAATTTCATTTCTTCTTATACATTATCATATTTTCTAAATTAACTGCACCAGGAATGTGCTTTTCTAGTCATTAAGACACAGGCAGAAATAATTCTCTCTTCCTAGGATTTCAAATGCAATATGGTATTTAGAAGCTATGACCTGATTTCCTCTTTTGGTGACCTAAATCCAGTTGTACAAAATGCCATTAATAAAACATGCCTTGTGAAGGATCACAGGCCAGTGATCACAGCAGCACGTGGCCGAGGCTGGTATTGTATCAGCCACCTGGGGGGGCCACATGGGTGTGGGCTCCTCTGCCTGCCAGGGAACGCCACCTTAGCCGGACATATTGGCTTATTTTTCCTTTCCAGCCTCTTAAATAGCCCTTAAATATAAGAACCTAAGCAGTCAGGTGCGTCTCCTTATTTGGAAACCCGATTATCCCAAAACCCTGCAGAGGAAGAGAGCAGAGAAGGGAGCTCAGTGACTGTGATTCTGGCCAAACACGTTAATTCTCATTCTTTAGCTCACAAAGTAGTACAAGCAGACTGAAATTTACAAACATCCAAGGCCAGCGACTGCAGCGCCTTTTACCTTGTTTGAGAATGGACGCAGAACAGATAAAAGCAATAATGAAAACAGGGGCCAGGTGGGAAGCACACTCAGTGCGCAGAGGTCTGGTGTGGGAGGAGCTTCAGTTTGTGGGAGAACTGATGAAAGGTAAGATTCCCTCAGCTTGGAAGTGACCACACAGAATTTCTCAGCATTTGCTATCTTGAAGATTTTTGAATGTTGTGACGTCTGTGTTTGTTCCCCTGACCCAAACCCAGCCTCCTGGATTTTCTGCCTGTGGGGGACTGGGGAAGATGATGCGAGGCTCTCAGGAGCTCGGTGTCCGCCCAGGATCAGTGGTGGCTTTGGAAGTGTCGGTGGCCGAGTCTATGCAGGTTCCACATGGGGATTAGTCCATGTCCGCTGCACTGTCTTCCTTAGCCTTGGCTCCTTTTCCCAAGATT